CATGCTCTTTCCTTTATCTTAGCGTTTGTTATTTTTTTTCTAGGTACTTCATAATTTATCATAAAAAATATTCCTTATGTATAGATACACAACTCATTGGAATTTAAATGAAAAGAAAGAATTTATCACAATTGGAAAGTCATTATGGGGATGGAAATTTGAAACTTATAAAAAATTAACAGCTCAAATTTAAATGTATTGATTTATCTTTTTCATATTTTACAATTTTTATTATACAAAATAAAGAAACCCTATTCATAACCCTTCTTGAAGAAGTAAAAATAAAATAATTTGGATAAAAAAAATTGCGAGATAAAAAAGAGAAAAACACATCAAAAGAACTTTAATTTTAATTGAGTGTCAGATGAGGTTCGTTGTTTTTTTTTAATAATCTTTATTGAAAAATTAATATCTTAGTGGAAAACCAACATTCGCAGGAGCAAAACGAAAGAAGACATCTCAAATTTTAAAAGAGAAAAAAGCAGAAAAACAAGCTCTTTTACAACCAGAACCAGAAAATGAAAAGATTAAAGCCATTTATGATGATGTTAAAGAAACTCAAGACATAATGTCAAATGTTTGTTTTTCTTTAAATTTAAAAAGAACAAATTATTTAAATGATTAGAATATTGATAAAATGACCAGTAATCTTGAAAAAGCTGAAGATTTAGAAGAAAAAACAAATGAAATGGTTGATAAAGCAAATACATTCAAGAAACAATCACATGAAATGAAAAAAGCTATGTGTTGGAGAAAATGGAAGTTATGGATTATTATTGGAGTTATTGCAGCAATAATCATTATAGTTATTATCGTTGCTATTGTTATTCCACTTTGCAATTAAAACATTTTTTTTAATTTTTGTTATATATACAATTATTTAATTTATTTTTTTAATCAGAGAAATAAGAAGAAATATCACCAAAAAAAAAAAACAATAACTTAAAAAAAAAGAACTAATAAAAGTATGTTATATTTTGTTATTTTATTTTGCATATTTGTTAAAGGGGAAGAGATATATAGTTGCGTTTATAGAAATAATTGGATTATTCAAAAAGGAAAAACAGATGATGCTATAGCATTCGGATCATACGAAGATACCCATTTAACAAAAGGATGGGGATTTTTAAAAATTGAAACAGTGAGAAAATATTTACCTGAGAAACAAGCATTTGCCGCTGGTTTTTTAGAAGGGTATTTAACAAAACATTTAATATATGATTTTTGGAATAATTATCGATTAAATGAATATGGTAAATATGGACCACCAAAAGCATTATCAAATTTTTTAGCAAAACAATATTTATGGTGGACGAATCAATGCAAAACTAATAGTACACAATATTGGAAAGAGCAAAATTTAATATTTAAACAATTTAGAGGATTATTATCAGGGTATAATAAATATTGTGATAATGGAAAGAAATTATCTATATTAGAAATGTATTATATTAATGCTGGTGGTGATTTAGGTACTTTAAATAAACTTGTTAAAAATGATAATTTACCTAAATATTCAACTATTAATATGGAAAAAATGAATCAACATGAAATATTTCATGAATGTACTGCAATAGTTAAAATTCTACCTCAAAATCAAGACATTGTTTTTTCTCATAATACATGGAGACCTTATTATGCTATGATGAGAATTTATAAAAAATATATTTTCCCTTTTACTAAAAATGCACTTCCGATGACTTTTGCTTCTTCTCCTGGATTCCTTCATTCTAAAGATGATTTCTACATTCTAAAATCTTCTCAAAATCATTTTAGTGTTATGGAAACTACAAATTCAATCTTTAATAATAAATTGTTTAAACAATTCTTAACATTTAAATCTGTCTTGTCTTGGCAAAGAATATTAGGTTCAATGTATTACGCTCCTTCAATTCAAAAATTACTTCAAAATTTTGAAGTATATAATAGTGGCACTTATAATAATCAATGGATTGTTACAGATTTAAATAAATTTAATTTAGCTGGACATCAACCAAATAAAGGATTATTAATGATTGCAGAACAAATTCCTGGAAAAGTTCAAATTATGGATGTTACTAAACTTCTTCTTCAAAAAGGATATTGGGCTTCATATAATAGTCCATTTAGTAAAAAAATAAGAGATTTGTCTGGATATACTTTAAAAGAAAGAGAATATGGTGATAGATATTCATATACTCGTTGTCCAAGAAGAAGAATTTTTGATAGAGAAGGCAAGTCATTAAAAACAATTAATGATATTAAAAGATTTATGTTACTTAATAAATTTAAAACTGACCCTCTTACTGAAGGAAGGCCTGGAGCTACTATTGCAGCTAGATATGACTTAGATGAAAG